TAGAATGTTTATTGCGAAAGCCAAACTGATGGTCAGGAACCATCTGTCCCTCATCAATTAACTTCTTCAGCCTTCTATGGAAAAGTTTCTCAAATAATTTTGATAACACAGGCAGACGAGAAATGGGCCTGTAAGCCTTTCTCGCTTCGTTTACAGTTTTGTCGGGTTTTGGTATCATAATTACATCTGCCGTTTTCCACAACTTAGGAACGTGTTTTAAGCGAAACGATGCATTAATTAAATGGGCAATTTTAATAATCCCTTTTCTTGGGAGTTGTTTGAGTATGTCTCCCGTAACTAAATCATAGCCTGGAGCTTTTTTGGAATTTACGTTTGCTTTTATTTCTCTAATTACTTCTTTTGGTGTAACTAAGTTTATTTCTGAGTTTTTTTGTGTTATTTCTATTTGAGGACATTCTGACTATTTCTCGTTTGGTTGAAAAATACTTTCTAGGTATGTGGCAAATAAAGCAGCCTTTTGTTTGTTGTCTCTAGCCCAGGTGCCACTTTCTTCTTGAATTGGAGGTATTGGTTTTATTTGTCGGTTTAATCTCCTGGTGGCTTTCCAGAGTGAATAATCTGAGCTCTGATCATGAGTTAGTTCCCTCAGGTACTTGTTTATTGACTCATTTTTAATTTCTTGAATTTCCCTTTTTAGTTGTTGGGTTGGGCTCTTTTCTAGCTCTCCTCTTCTCTTTAATAAGTTCTCCTATTTTCTTGGCGTAGTTTATCCCAGCGGTTCTTCTCCTTATTTCTTCACCTTCCAGACCCTACTTTTCATGTTATTCCCGGTAGTCTCCCAGGAGCGGATCCAGCTTGCGAGTCAAGGGGGGGTCAAGTAGTAGAAATTCAGACTTTTGTTGTGTATAAAATTAGAAAAATTAACAGTGGAAGCGTTCAAGCAAACCACCTCTGAAGATGCAAGCCACTCGTGCTTGAGAAACGTCTGGAAGAAATTCTATTGTACGACGGCCTAAAAACCCACTAGTTTCACTGTTAAAAAGTTTGTATTTTCGGTATAACAAGCCACCAACCTGAAAAAGTCCGGTTCCACATTTTAAGGGTGATGTCGCTGCCGTCCCTAATGTCGCCCCCTTCCCATAGAGTCTCGTTAAGGGCCATGCCCAGCAGGAAAACGCCATCATAGAAAGCCCCAATGACGAAGTTTACCTGCAATTGACCCAAAATTTTGGACTGCCGGATTGGACTGGGGATTGGGTTACCTCCTCCCCTTCGCTGATCGTGTAATTGTAGTCCCTAAGAGACCTTTCCTTGACCTTGTCGGCAAAGTCCTGGAACTTGTCGCTGGTTGGTTGCAAGAGGGACACTCTGAGCAGGGCCTCGTAGGCCTTGCGCGCTTTGTAGTCTTCTGAGTCGCCGGCCTTCCAGTCGTGGTCGCCCCAATAGGAGCCCTGAGTTGATTAGGATCAGACGGGTTTTTTCCGATTCCGGTTGGGTCTACCTGGAATATTTCCACGTCCAAAAAGATCCAGTCCCCTTTGGTCATGCCCAGAGCGTGCGCTGCCAGCATGAACTTCCTAACCAGCGCCCCCCGGACGCTCAGAATGACCACTAAACATCAGAACGGGTTTCGATTGGAGGTGGGAGGGCTGGGAAAGGGTCTTAGGGTACCTCTAGCATACATGCTGGCATCGCGAAGGTAGTTGTCCAGGGAGTCGTTTTCGTTGCCGTCCAACTCGCGCACGAATGAGAGAAGTCCTGCTTTTTTCAGCCCGTGCTCCAAGTTTTTGCCTGGAAAATTCATAATTTAATGGCAAAGTGTTCAGTTGTGACCTTTGAATTTTTGAATTTGTGGACTGCTTTCGAATCGCAAAAGTTCCTTTATTTTGATTGGCTTGTCGGAAAAATTAGCAGTGGGCAAGTTTTGTTCAATTGGTTGATTTAGTTGGGCAGTGTAGGTTTTATCCCGGTTTTTAACTCGGACTGAGGGTAATTCACACATCGCCTCGGTAGCGCAGTAGGCAGCGCGTAAGTCTCATAATCTTAAGGTCGTGAGTTCGATCCTCACCCGGGGCATATTCTTTTATTGATGCTTTTTGAAAATCTTTTCGCATTTTTCGTCCGTGTGCGTCTCTCAATTTGCTAATTTTTTAAGTTTCTGATTCAATTTACGCAATTTGGAAATTTAATCAAACTAAATTTTCAGTTTTTTATTAGTTAGAGAAGAACTACGTTTGGAAAGTTTGAGGATGTGTCAGGATGGCCGAGCGGTCTAAGGCGCCAGACTCAAGGTTTCCTTGCCTGTCAATTGCGGGTTCTGAGCATTCTGGTCCTCTTTGAGGGCGTGGGTTCGAATCCCACTTCTGACAAAACTTTTTAAATTTGCCGCT